TCTGATAAGTCAGAATAATACAGTCTTCACTAAGAACCTGATTATAATAAAGATATTAACACTGTCATTTACAAATTCTAGTCTATAAGATAATGAGTTTCTACTGAGATGAACAGTCTGCAGTGTATGTAAGAGAAGAAGAAATCATATTCTTATTAAAGTTAAAAAATAAGAAAATAAACAGAATTATGAACACAATTTGAAGAGTAATAAAGAAAAAATAAAGAAAACTCAAACTCATATTCTTAATATCTGTGACACTCAATTCTCTCACAACTATCAATTTCTCTCTTTAAAGAAACAGAGAGCATCATGTCTGCAGTACAGACAATTATTATATTTAATACAAAGACTGTCAGAAATGCACAGACTTCAGAGAAGTCAGATATCAGAGTATATATAGTTGCAGCAGAGTCTTGAAGACTGATCATCTGCATGTGTGATCAGATATCTCTTATAAAGCTGTATTCACTTCTTCAGTTATACTGAAGTATTCAGCCTGGAAACAATTAAGATACAGAGAGAGAGCTCATCTACTCAGACTAACTCTCATTATAAATTCATAACATTCACATTGCCTTAATTATCTGAATTTTACAGATACTTGAGAACTCATCACTCATTAATAATGAGATTGTGAAAATGCACTGCAGTGTGAGAATCATTGATAGAGAATCTAGACATATTTACATATATCTGATCAGTGATTGTGCAGGCAGAGAGAAGATGATTGTAGGCTTATAAAGCTGTAGAAAACACTGACAACACAGAGAGCTTTATAAGAACTGTTAGCTAGAGTCTGTAAGAAATTACTTATAAGAAGACTTATAGCAAAGAGAGAGACTGCACTGCTTGAAGTCAGAAACTGATCTGAGAGAGATAGAAAATTGACTGCTGATCTGAAGATTGAGTGCAGTGACAGAGCTGAGAGAGATGAAGATATAATCATGAGCAGTGATACTTCTGCTTCATCAGTCAGTAAAAAGTAATCAGAGAAGTTATGAAAATACTTATAAGAAGCTCAGCAGCAGTCAGACATTATTATAAAGATATTAAAATTGAAAAATTTTTATTCTTGAAAAGTTCTTGAATTAATATATAAATATTATTAGAAACACTCTCTCTCTATCATCTGAGTAGAAACACTTCACAGATGAATAAGAATACTCACAGTTTATAAGAATAAGAGCTGTTACAGAAAAAGAGAAAAAAAAATGAGATTTCACAGACAGATCTGAGATATTTATACTACTTTAAAGAGATTTACTTATACTATAAGTAATTCTATGAAACAGTCAGATCACTCTAATAAATAAGAGTGATTATAAATCACAGATCTGAATCTTTCTATATAACTATAAAGAGTGATTGTAGACTGTGAATATCTTGATTCTACAATTCTACAGAGTTGATGAAAGAATGAAAAATTTCTCACAATTCTACAGTGTTAAAGAATAATAATTTGTGAGAATGAGTAAAAGATTAACTCATAAATATTTCTCTTTGATAAGAATGATCTCACAGAGAGTGATTTATCTATGAGATAAATCTATGTAATGATTACATAAGAATTTTGTGAAAATAATTAAAAGTCAATTAGAACTCTTCTGTATGAAAGATGTAAGATGAATCTGTGTGATAGTCAGAGAAGAATCTGTAGATTATAAAGAATCTTACAGAATAAGAAACTAAGTGACAGTCTCTTTTCTCTTCATAGTAATAAGGAATTTTTCCTCACTGAGATTTTTTATAGATATAAAGAATTTTTAGTGAGTATTACTGCAGTGCTGAGCTGATTCTATGAAGTCACTCAGTGAAAGGCTTCATAGACAAAGCCTTAGAGAGGGAAGAGTATATAAGAAATCTCACTTCTTACAGATTCTTTACTTCTATTTCTATCTCTCACATAATTAATAGAGCTAGCAGCTCTTGACTATATATAACTATATAGACTGAAGTTCACAAATACTATTCATAACTCAGCTTGAATACTATTATATATTTAATCTCTATATTTTATCTTTCTATCATGAACACTTCTAGTAGTTAACAGTACATATTATATCAAGCTGCAAACACCTGAATAATCATCTGTGAGCACTTATTCTTACAAATACTGTCTAAGCTGCTTTTCTTATTTCTTTTCTAATGCTATTCTGATCAACTTGCAAATCATTTTTTCAGTTTCAAATAGAATTCTCACTTGAAATATTAATAATAATAATAACAATGAAATGAATCTGCTTTGCTTAGTACTCTCTATTTAAATATTCTACTCAAAATTCAATGTTCTATATTTGTCACAGAGATAGATTAGTCAAATCACACAAGAGATATTTTAACAGTGATTCATATGTTGAGACATCTAACTGTATTAATATGCAATGATCTGTGACATAGTTTTATTAAAGCAGTTAATGACAATAGGCTACAGCCGGCGAAAATAATATTAGTTAGGGCATCGTAAATCACGTGGTCACTGAAAGCAATAGTCTAAGTAAACACCTTACAATCTGTGATTATTAAACAAGGAAAGGAAACAAATGAAAGGACAAAAAAGAGCGTTTTCATCCTAGCCTGTAGAAAGAATGATTATGTTTTGTTTTTATTTATCCGCCCTTCAGGATGTACGAGGTGGTGAAAGCCGAAATAAGGCTTTATACTATTCGCATCTCTTCCTTCACTCGAGCCTTGGAGAAACGATGTTTCAGACGCTTATCTCTGGCTAGCTCCGAGTACGGATGACTCCACGTTCTAAATGGAAACTAAAATATTATAAATGGACATATGATGTGATGTGTTCTTTTTTTACTGTCTTGCCTTCCGAGATGTGTTAGAGCTTGGGGTGTCTTCAAGAGCCAACCACTCAAGTTCGCTGATGCTTTGCTTACTGTTTCCCAGCGTTGATTGGTGGAGAATGATCTTCGGGCTTTTCCATTAATTGGGTAGCTGTTCCGTTTACATAGGCTGCCATGAGGTTATTCCAAGAATTGACTTTGGTCAACATAGTTGTAGCGGGAGCGATGCGGCTAGTTCCTGGCGTCAATCGTGCCCTAGATGATTTGTAAGCTAGTTACCGCTCACCTAGCACTCAATGAAGCTATATATGATAGATACATACTGATTATATATTCTAAATCAACTACAAGCATCAAACGCTCGCTTACGCTCGCTTTGCTGCTTGCGCAGCCCCCTCTACCACTTCCACCCCTTCCACTCTCTACTCCCTCTACCACCACCACCTCCTCTACCGCCCCTACCACCACCTCCTCTACCGCCCCTACCACCCTCCCCCCCTACCAACCCTCTTCCACCCTGTATCACCCCTATCACCATTATCAGATTAATCAGAGCCGTACAGGCCGCAGAGCCGGCTGTTCAAATGAATTCAAAGGGGTGTACATGACATCACATGAGATCATGTTACAGGGCATTTAGCAGCGCATGCCATGAACACAGAGATCAAAAATGAACATAGAGAAGAGTATAAGGAATGTAAATACTGTAGAGAATGTATGAAAAGAGCAGATTGAAAAAAAGAATGAAGATTTGAAGATTGAGCTGAGCTGTATGAGCTGGAGAGCAGAGATGAGCATTCAAATATTTTTGATAAGGTGCATGTGATGTCACTTTTTGCATGGAAAAGTTGGTTTTTCTATAATAAATTCCTTGTAAATTTGATAGTATTAACATAAATGCTTCTGTCTCTGCAATATTATTTAAGTTTCTTCATAATCTTCTTTCATCTTGGTCACAACTTCTCCAATGCCTCCTCAATATTAATCCATTGATTAATAATTATCATTTTACAGATATTAGATGCAGATATGACTCCTCCTTTATAAACTACTCTTCATGAAGCTTCCTAGTGATCTTATTCTCTATTAAAATATATGTAGAAGCCATCGCGTTGGCTGTTATTGCATTTTGAAGAAAGGATAAAATAGTAACTAGCTTGCTTACAAATCATCTAGGGCCCGGTTAGCCGCGAACCAACCAACCTAATCGTCATCAACTTTCCCTGCCGCGATTTCCTGTTGCTTACGGAGTATTGTGGCAATTTACATCCAAGCCACGGAACCACTGGGGCGGGTCGGCAGTGGTCCGGGGATCTATGCAACCCCTGACAGCCCTCTCCATGGCTGCAGTTCTGCTTATCGAATGGGCTTGGATTGTGCAACTGGAAGGACCTGGGATCGAATTGGTAAACAAGTTTCCCTTTTAGGCACAATCACGTTAGGCAACCTCCTTTAACCGCCACATTTTCTCATTCTAGCTTCCTAATAGTGGCTTGGGGATACTGATCGCCTCACACCTCTACAGATGCCCCCTGCGAAAAGTTTTGTCTCACACTAGTAACTAATAATTTATCCTGAAATATGATTTCGATTCCAGGCCACACTACCTGGGATTTAGACAGTGAGCTAGTGGGCAAGCTAGGGCACCGGTCTCTATAACGGCCCCTGGGACTCCCTATCCTTTAATTAAGAGATGGAATGGCAATACTTAATGCCGGTATCAGCATTTCAGTTTAAATTCTTAGCGCAAGTCAAAACTTTGCAGGAGCCTCTGTACATACAAGCCTCCTTACTTGATGGGGCTGTATGTTCGTGATAGTGTATATGGCTGATAGTGACAAAATAAACGATGTGGGTTATCAAGCGGCCGTGTTAACGCGGACTTATCTACGGAACCAATATCATTTCATTTACGGAGTTTACCTCACAAGGTTCTTCCTCCTTTCATCGAGGCAAGTCCCATTTGGCTTTGCCGATCAAGCCAGTGATACTTTACAAAAATCTCAGCGGGAGGACCGCTCAGTAGAGAACTTATATTCTCCATAATGCCCTTGGCTAAGCGGCTAAGCCATTAGATAGACATAAAAACATCTATGCTAGCAGTAAAATTTGATCTGCTGCTGCTGCTGGGGAGCACGAAACGGGCGAAGCCGTAACTGTACACGTACGTACAGTAGTACATTAAATCATTTTACCTTGGTCGTTGAATTAGGGTTAACCAGCGCCAAGACCAGTCCCATTGCGCTCTACCACTTTCTGAAGAGTTCAATCGGTAAGTTACTCTGTTAATACCTTGAACTAGATAAACCGAAATACCAGTAATTCCCCATAAGCTACCCCCGGAGCCAAAAAAAGTAGCAGCAACTTAACTAGAGTAGAGTTGCAGATCGCTGTGCCTCAGCATTTAAGAGACTTAGTAGCGTAAAAAATAACAGTAGAAAAAAAATTTTTTTTTTCTCTAGGATATAAGAAAGTTCTATAGTATATTAAAAATAAAGAAAAATTTAAGAATAACCAATGGCTCTTTCCCGCCTTCACCTTTGCTCCCTGATTTAGGATGATACGTCTTAAGCGTCCAATTTCCATTGCGAGAACTGCTTATGGTCACAACGGCTATTTCCCCCCGCCTAGGTCTTGACTGTGGAAAGAAAGGATTTAAGTAGCTGGTGGCGGCTCCTCATGAACTTCCTGTGCTGCATCGGTTGCAGGTTCATCTAAAACACCACGCTGGCCCAACCAAGATATTGCCTGCATTACTCTCCGATCCTCCTCCTCCTTCTCACGACTCACGAGCTATAGATTTTGTCAGTAAAATAAATAAATAAATAAATAAAAATGTATTGACCTTCCAGAATAGATTGGGAAAAAATCGGTGAAAAAAGGGGAAATATGTATATATGTACGAAAAAAAATTAAGGGGTAAAACTCACAGCCTGAAACAACGATTTCTTCCCCTTCTTATCCTGAGTGGAAGCGGATAGCCTCGCCGCAGCTTTAGTCTTATCAGAAGCCTCGTGGAGGAATTTACACCTGTTACCTCGTCGACATTGGCCTGTTTTGGCAAACTGACGACAAAGTGATTTTTGCTGCCGGGCCGGAGGCAGGACCCGGTCGGGTTGCTCTCGTCGGATTGTTGCTTGCTCTGGTTCTGAGGAGGTGGAGTCGTCATCGTCTCCCGAGGACGAATCCGAGCCGCTGGATGTGGTTTCATCGTCGAGATCGGAATCGTCGTCTGAGGGTGACGATAGGCTGTCGCTGACTTCCAAGTCGCTGGATAGGTTATTGCTAGTTACGCCTGGCGGGGAGGTATGTCCATTTACTTGTGGGGTGTGTTCAATGGTACCTGTGGTTTCAGGGGCTTTTGGTTCGACGTTGTTTGCTACATGTTCCGTAATCGGAGCTTGGGATTCGTCTATCGGGCAAATATGTTCAAGCTTTGAAGCTGGCGGTTCCTGTTGGGGCTCCCCAATAGCCAGTTGATCATCAGCTTGGGTGCCTTCTGCTGCAGTAAGCGCTGGTTTTGAGGTATCCGAATCCGTAGGAGTGGGGACATGCTCCGCTGCGGAACTAGATGTAGTATCAGCGTTTGTCTTTCCTTCAAGGGTCCCATTTGTCTGTATCTTAGATGCTTCAGCACGGAGCCTTGCTTTCTCCGCATGTGCCTCCGCCCTAGCAACACGCTTCTCTTCTTTCATGAGCTTCCGTCGAAGCTTTTCCGCCTTTAGTTTTGCTTTAGCAGCTGCATCTGCGGGGTCAAGTGACTGTTGCTGTTCCTCCTTCAAAAGTTTCCTGTCCAATTTATCTTTCTCCTTTTTCATCCTAGCTTCCTGTAGCCGTCTTGCTTCTTCCTGATCGGCATACTTCTGCTGTCTCAGGGCATTTTCTTTGGCCCTCTTAGCTTCTCTAGCTTCCTTTACAGCCTGCTTCTTCTCTTCAGCTTCCTTTAAACGCTCCTCGACCCTTGCTCGGGTTGGGTACCTCTTTTTACGTTCCTCGATCCAGGTAGCGATATCCGTCGGTGTCTGTAAGGTAGAGGTCTGCCCTTTATAGCTAAATTTAAGCTCGCCAGTGGTAATAGTTTGTGAAAGCTTGGTTTCCTCATCAACGTCATCCTCCTCCTCGCTCGATTCATGCTCCTCAGTTTGCGGAGTGAGACCAAGTTGGTTATACTTTCTCTTCTTCTTCCTGTGTTTCTTAGTAGCGTCGACCGAGGGCGGCGGTTTCGAAGGAAGCGAACTTCCAAAACTAGGGACTGGGAGAGGGGCGGTTGGCCTCGTGCTAGACGCCTGTGGTCCACCAAAAGCATTGGAATATGGGCGTTTATTAGCCCGATTCGCAAATTTATCACCGCGGTTGAACTGGTTTGTTGAAGGGAATGAATTGTATTCTTGAGAGGGCCGCGATCCATGGCGATCGTGAGACTGACGTGGCGGATGGTGGGGAGGTTTTGAGTCGCGCATATCAGGGTACCCCCCATACTTAGGGGCCCGCAAATTTGGGGCCGGGTAGGGACTGCTTTGGATGGCATTTTCAAAACCCCAACGCATAGGAGGCGGCATTACATGAGGTTGCGGGTGATGGTTAGGGGACGGAGCGTGCCGGTGCATGGGCGCGGGCGGGTTATATGCAGCCGGGTGCGGTGCAGGGTGACGGGACGGATATTGTATCGGGACCGGCTGGCTGTACGCATTTTGCGGAGGTGGTAGATGTGAAGGAGGCTGGGCATACGGTGGTACGGAGGGGTAGTTGGGTTGGCCTTGGGGAGGAGCGTAATGTACAGGAGGCCCTTGCTGGTTATACTCCGGAGATGGGTGATTTGGAGGCGTATGAGGGTGAGGGTGAGAGCGAGCCCCATATCGCGTAAAATTCATATTGTGGGGAGGGCCATGACTGGGGCCACCCATATGGTTTCCCCTGCCGCTCCTGTGTGCATTTCCCCTTCCGCGACCTCGCTGATAGCCTCCAGCGCCTCGTCCTCTTTGGTTCTGGTTGTATGGAGTTGTCGGCGCATGACCAGGGAAGCTCGGCGGACCAGCCTGCGGTGGTGGCGGAGGGGGGGGTGGAGGAAAGGAAAACCCGCCAGAACTCATAGTATAAGTGGGAATGGAAACGAAATCTAGATGCTCAGATATAGAAATAAGGCCTCCATCTTCAGGGACCCATCATGGTTGGAGATGTCATATCGTTGTTTTCATCCGTCTTTATGGTAATTCTTGCAGCTTTGGCGGTTTCAGGGGCAATATGTTGATCCGTTCCGAATATCGGAGCCAGGAAGTGCGGTCACGTGGAAATATCAAAAGCGGACACTGTCGACGGGTTGGCGACGAGGTGTCTTCTTGTATACTTCTTTTTCTTTCAATATTTCTCGTCTATCTCTTTGGAATAGAACATGGATCTATGATCTGTTCTGCCGTTTAATTGTCGTTGTTCATCCATGTGTTTTCACTGCTGAAGCATCTTTTTTCTCCCGTTTGTAGCACGAGGCGTCGTGGAAGATGCTGCGGATTGAGTTGTTACATTTCTCACTTTTCATTATCCGGTGACATTCCAGTCTAAAATAAATAAGCATCATGTTTATTCTCGTACGTCCCTGGTTCGGTTCTGATTAAAATTATCTTCTCTTACTTGAAGTTTTCTGCCGAGCTCTAATGCTGAATGAACGTTCCCCTAGACAACCATCTCCGACCTAGTCCAAATTTCCCCTGAGGACTTTTCAAAACTTAGCGCGGTTGCAATCGAGGATAATATTAATGAGAAATATGCTAATAAGGTATGTGAAAAAAGATATATATGTCCCGACTGGCATTCGTTGAACATTCTGGTAACTAACATTTTGCTTCAGGTCATCCAAAATGTTGGCCTATGCATCAGTTTTTACGACTTGCTCGAGTCCTCTGATGGCCTGATTGGACATGGCACTGGCCTTGTCAATGTCAATGGTATGCATCACCGAAATGCATAGTACGCTCATGAAATGAAATGGCCCTGCAGCTGGTTACTGAGTAACGTTCTATTTGGTCCAGTTAAATTTCGATTAATTGTCTTCCGACCCTTCAAGGGCGAGATTATCCTGGGGAAAATCACCAGTGGAACAGAGAACGGCATTAAAAGTGCGTTGAAATATAAAAACTTCCCCTGAAAGGCATTGGCGAGGACGTTCCCATCATTTTTGTATAAGGATTGCCCATTGCCACATGATTGTTAACAATAGGACCGACCCTCAATGGAAAAAAAAACTTGCAGTCAGCCTTGAATTCTTCAATGATATCTTTATACCCCCCAGCCTTTTACTGGACGGTGCTAGATTGTATGTTCATATTTTATGTTCTCCTGACAACCCACCCAACCACCTTCACAATATGGAACATATATTAACCAACCTGCTCATGTCCTCGCTCTCCTGCCTGCAGCGACTTCGCCGACCAAGTCTGGATCTGGGATAACGGCGAAGGCGCAATTTTCTACTTTGACATTGGCGAGACGGTGCGCTTTCGAGTTGAGGCGGAGGAGTGGCATGACCAGATCCCAGACGCGCCTGATGATCAGGAAGGTGGGGCGGTTATGGAGAGGAAGCCGCCGTATTCTATTATTGTATGTTTCCTTTTCCCTATTACTCCACTGCCCTTACTTTTCCTTTTTCCTTTCGATGATCAGGTTACTTTATAATGACTAGGAGCTAATGGAAGTGATTTAAATAAATAGGGGTCTATGCAGATTGCGGGCCTGGGACTCGTTGCCTGGTGGTCATAAGGATTGCAGGTTCTATATGACTTGATGGGACTGCATAAGGGATGAAACGGATATAAAAATGATTGCGAATCCCCTACACGGGATTGTTCGATTGAGCGTTTTTCGTTTTTTATGTGATGTTATTGAGTCCTTGTTCGCTAGAATATTCCTGTAGCTATATGCTCTACTAAAACTTTCCCTCTAGATAATTTTAGGTCCAGTTTTATGCGAGATATAGAACATCTAATATACGACCCTATTTTAGTAGGACGATTATCTCTATACTTTTTCACAAATTTTCCCGCGCCCACTCCTCCGCCGTCATCGCATGAATCCCCTTCCGGAAATTCCACGTCTCCTCCAAATCCCATGCAACACCCTTCCCCGCCCCAAAAACAGCATAGTACTTCAACAACGCATTATCGGGCTCCCTCTCCAACCTCTCCAGAACCTGCGGAACCGTCAAAACCGATCTCTCAACTTCCCTCCCCGTAACCTTCACCACCAAATCGGCCACCTGCGCATAACTTAGCGTATCCCCACCGACAAACACAGGCCCATTAGCGCCCAGCAACCCGTCATCGCCCAACACGATCTCAGCTGTTAATCTACCAATATCCGCCGGCGCGGTGACAGTCACCCGATTCTCCCACCCGCCCAGCGCCCGCACCCTCGCACTCTCCCCCCTTGGTGCCGGCAGATCCACAACGCCAAACCCCGCCGCGAACAAGAAACTCGTAAACATCCCCGTGGACACCACGGTCCACCGCGTCGTCTCCTGCGCGCGCAGCAGCCCGCGCACATCTAGCTGCTCGTCGAAGAGGTCGTGCGCGGAGCCGCGGCCGATGGCGTCGTAGTCCACGCCGAACTGCCAGGGGATGTAGAAGGGGACGCCGGCGGCGAGGACGGCGCGGGTTATTTTCAGCTGGGTGCCGGGGCCCGCGACAAAGCCGGCGCAGCTGATTATGAGGTCGTAGGGGCGGAAGAGGGCGGTGAGGGTTTCGGGGGAGTCGGCGGCAATGTCGCCTGGGACTAG